CATACCATTTAATTCCCTCTATTCTGGTAATGAATGTCTTAATTTATTAGTAATTGCCTTAGTTGTTCTCCATGTTTCCGCCCCATACAAAAATACTGAATGACTGTGTATGACTAGTAATAAAACGTGTATATTGCCGCCGGAACCAGGGCATGGGGGGAGAGGGCCTCAGACACCATGAGCGCCTCTCCGTCCCCTTCCTCCAACAGAAATAACCTCCCTAGACAGTTAATAAGAAGTTGAGACCCCTCCCCTCCTCTTCACCCCCCCCCATGCCTCCCCAACTGAAACTTTCAGAGAAAATAAAAAGGTGAAAATCTACACTGGGTTCCCAGAAGCCCTGGCTTTTGGTTTCTGTTTAGAAGCGCACCTTTCTCATATCTCAGACACAAACATAAATACCACTAGATCAAGATGGAAGATATCAATTCAAAATGCGGAATCCGCCTGTGATCTCCTATTTCCAGTTTCGATAATCTTATACCCCTTTAAATGTTCTTTTATTCTCCTAGTCGGGAGAGGAGTTAGGGGGGAAAAAACACTACACATGTTTCTCGTCTCTTTGCTGTGCGATGGCTAATGAGGTCTACGTATGTTTGGATCTTGAGTAGTTTTTACTGTCCGTGATTTATCATTACCTATCTTCTTACATCGTAAATAACTTGCTATTAACTGTTACCTAACTTTGAGATTCATCAGCATGTGTCTCGCCAGATGGCCATCAGGTTTATTTCTGTGTGATTATCTCTTGGTGAATTCAGTGTTAACTAAAGTGGGCACAATCTTGCTTTGGGTAAGTAAATCAATAAATTCTTAGATGTCGTCTCCACAATGAAGGTTCGTTAGAATGGATCTCCAACACCCTACCTCTTGTCTTGACAGTACACACTCTCTCACTGCTGTTCGTCTTTTTCTTCTTCTTCTTCGATCCTTCTGTCAGAAAACATATCACGAGGCTGGTAACCTTTATGAAAGCTATCGCGAAGTCCATATCCTCTCGTGTAACTTAAAGCTTTGACTTCATTGTGGTTGGGACAGGCCAGATTGCGTCCCTGTTGTCAGCATACAGTTGACAGTCTTGTAGCACATGCTTAGCGTTTTTGGGTGCCACGCTGCAGGGACACAACTCTGTGTTTCCCTACACCGACAAATTTGAACACATGTTGACGAAGTCTGTTGTGTCCTGTCCTTATTCTCAATTTTAATCATTGTCCATCTACAGAGAGGCAATGAAGTGAGTCTTGAGGACAGAATTTGGTGTGTATATCCACCTCATTGATGTTCGTGTTTCTCCCGATTTTGTTCTCTCACTTGTATCGTTGTCTATTTCTTGATCTCATGCCCTTGGAGTTTTCCTCCAGTTTGATTTTGAAAGAAGCGCTGTCTTTTACTTTGGCAGAAATATTTCAAGTGTCTCTTTTCTATTTCTCTCAGTATCTCTCTTTATTCGAAATCTTCCCGATACATTTGGGTAAGGTAAAAAAAAACACCTTATTCTATGACATAAGGCGCAAAGGATATGTAGGGCTAGATCTATATTTTATAGTCCAATCGACAGTCGGTGGGTGATGTTGTCAGCATACCGCCTTTACTTACCATGACTTTGCCTGTTACCCATTTAGGCTGGGCGGACTTGGGAGCCCCAATCATTTTGTTTCTAAAAGTCCAGCTCCGCCAGGACCTGTACCCGCGATCTTCTGATCCGCAGGAAAGCGTCCAGCCTCTGCACCACTGCTGCTCTCAGAACCCCTGGGTAACTGAATACAAATCCTAAACTGAGTGTGCGTGTGCTCGCCGCAACTCTTCGCTTCCAACCAGTTGTATGGCACGCCGCAGGCTACACAAAACGACCAGCGGACAGAATGACCTTTAAGCGGCAAACATGAAACGGCCGAGCCGTCTGCTTTGCTTTGTTCTTGCGTGATCTTTTCATTCCCTCTGCCTAATTTCCCAACGAATCAACAAAATATGGAAGTCTACTTTCTCCTTTCATCTTTGTCTATGTCTGTTGCTCGTCACAGCACACACGATATCTTTTATAATGTTTTATGCTGTTCCGTCTTCCACGTTAGGTCAGTAAGCGGCGTTCGTGGTGCTGCCTTCGTCTACTTCAAAGATACTTCTTCTGCCTTGACTGGCTATACCCCAGTGGAGCATAGGCCCTCAACCAACTCATGCTAAGTCATTCTATCCTTCCCTACTACATGTAGCTCTTACCACACCCTCCCAATATTTTTAACTTCATTCTCCAACTCTCTTCTCTTTGTATTCTTTGGTCTTCCTTTATTTCTTTGCCACTGTGGGTTCCAGGGCAAAGATATTCTCGTTAGTGTTCTCACGTTTTCTCAACGTATGTCCTATCCAACGCCAGCGTCTTTTTTCACCTCTTGGGCAAAAGGAACTTGTATAGCTCCAAAAGCTCAACATAAGTGATTCTATCATACCATTTAATTCCTTCTAATCTGCGCAGTCACCACTTAATGAATGTTTGCAGTTTACCTGTAACTGCCTTAATTTATCTCCATGTTTCCACTCCAAACAACAGTACTGACAAGAATAGACCCATTGCCTACCCCAAAGCATGTCGTAAGAGTCGACTAATTGGGGAGCTACCTTTGAAGTCGGAGTGCATCTGCAGGAGAGGCAAGGAACCAACAGTCTGTATTCAATAGAATGAGATCTGTAAAACTGATGCACACGCAATACTCAGGTTCTGGAGCAGGACTGCAGTTCAGTAGTGGACGATCAACCAGAACTTTCCGCCAGATAATCTGGTAATCCAGATCTGGCGGAAAGTTCTGGTTGATCGTCCACTACTGAACTGCAGTCCTGCTCCAGAACCTGAGTGTTGTGCGTGCATCAGTTTTGCCAATACTGTTCGTCATGACCATGCAGGTCACGTTAGATAGGGCTGCCGGCGTCTGTCAGGGCCTTGAAATTGATTACTGGAGGCCACCACTGAGAGCATTTATGGATAATACGACCATGATCACGGGCAGTGAAAATCATGCCCGTGTTATTCTAGAGAAGCTGGATCGCGTGGTTAAATGGTGCATGCAATTCAAGCCTCAGAAGTCCAGGAGTCTGTCAATCCACAGAGGTAAGTTTGTGACAGCCAGTTTCACGGTGGCAAAGAAAAAGATTCTTCCGGTTCTAGAGGAACCAGCGAAGAGCCTCGGCCGCGTCTACGATTCGAAGTTATCTGATAGGATGGAAGTCCGGCGAGTCACTGGCAACAGGCCTGCTTGCGATCAAGCGATGCAGGTTGATTGGAAAGTTCAAGGTTTGGTGCCTCCAGTTCATGTTGATTCCCAAGCTTCTCTGGCCGCTGCTCGTGTACGAGGTAAGCACGAGTGCAGTGGAGACAATGGAGATAAAAATCAACACAGCCATTAGAAAGTTGCTCAGGGTGCCACCTTGTCTGATCGATGTGGCTCTCTATTGTAAGCAGGCTAAGCTGGTGCTTCTGTTCAATAACCTAAAAGTTTAAAGTCGGCAAGGTGAGAATAGCGACACTGCTGCGCAAGAATGCAGACCCCCACAGTGGCATCTGTCCAGTCCGCTCTAAAGACATAAAAAATTGAAGGTCCAAGATGCGATAGAATCTACTCAGAACGCACTGAAATTGAGGCCTAGGGCAAGGAAAAGTCACTTTGAGTGTCAAAAGCCACAGTTAAAGAACGCAGAAGCATGGCAATACAGCAGACATGGGACTCCGAAAACAAGATTCGGGTCCAAAAAGGAGTCCAGGAGTCGCAGCAAGGCCTTGAAGCGGCCTCGAGAGCGCCTTGCCACGAATACTAACACGGAGTGAGATCTGGCGATTGACCCCGCTGCGAATTTGCTCTGTCATAAGATCTGCTTACGATGTGTTACCCTCTGGCGCCGACATGGCATGCGACCACAGACTCGACGTGTACACTATGTAGATCTAAGCAGACGCGTGTAGAAAAGCCCTAGGCCAGGTACGATACATATGGCCCTACAATAAATTCCTAAAAAAGTCAGTGGGCATTGTGGATCAAGCCAGGATAAGGGCCCATGCGAGGATCAGTCCTAACCCCCCCTCCCCCCCCCCCAACCTCCTCTCCATGCGCATCCTCAAGGCTGGACAGATCTCTAAAGGTAAAGTCAACAAAGGTAGCATACTTTCCATCAATGCTTGACCGTGCGAGGGACTGGTTACTGGCGGTTAGCCTGCCTGGTTTCGAGAAGTACCCAGAATCAATTCAAAAGACCGGCCTGAGTCCAGACACGGTGCTGCACTCTGCGGAAAAACTCCAGCTCATGCTTATTGAGCTGACCGTGCCGTTAGAGTCGTGGTTGGAAGAAATTCACTTGTAGAAGCTCGAAAAGTACGGTGATCTGGAAGCTGGTCTGAGAAGAGATGATGCGTACACTGTAAAAATCATCGCCGTCGAGGTAGGCGCAAGAAGGCCTATCTCTACTTCCACATAAAATTATTAAAGCACATGTTATTGCGAGGAAATAAACGGAAACGGGTACTAAAACAGCTAGACAAAGAGCGAAAATGGTTTCGAGTTGACTTTGAATGCAACGAAACATCGTAAGGGGATAGACCTCGATAGACTGGTCCTAGCTTCTAGTGGGAAAAAAAAAAACTTTTCAACCCTTGAAAGCTAAAGTGCCTGATAAAAACATCTGTCAGTGTCTCTCTGCCATATGTCAAAGTCTAACGACTATTCGATAAACCAACTTTAAGCTTGTCACTCTGGTCGTGAAGGTAGTCGGCTAATTTGCTACCGCAGGGAAAATATAGGTGTTTTCCTCCCATTTGTTTCGTTGTCTTTTTCTCGTTCAAATGCCTTCAACTTGTTCCTCCAGCAAATTTTATAACAGATATCTTTTAATGTGACCGATATATATCACTTGCTTATTTCTGTAAGCATTTTCTTTCTTTTCTTCATTCAGCCTCTAGCAGTTTGTAACAACTATTGGACAAAAAGCACGATGAAACAAACGAAAACAAGGTTACTCACGGTATAGGCAGGGTGATGACATCCGCTGCAAGAATGAAAAAGAAGAAAATCTCGTTTAGGCACATTGTCAATACGTTCTGCCGACCGCCATATTCACAAACAAAAGTCACAATAGCATACAATGTGTCGAACACCGGAATTTGCCAAACTTAGATGTTGTCTGATCTCTGTAGGCCGAAAGTAGTCAATACAGTTCTTTCTCAACGTTAAGTTGTTTTTCAATGCGACATTTTTAGGGATGTGTTATCAGCATGGATGTTTCTGAACCCTTAATTTATTTCACGTCACATTTTCTTATTCAGTTTGTTAACAACATGGCTAATCAGTTTTAGTAACAAGGAATAGTCTTAACCAGTTTGTTAACACTTTTCTAAAAAAAAAAAAAAAAAAAATTTACTGAATAACAATAGTGTTCCTAAGTTGGAAGTTTTGAGAAAAAAAAAAAAAAAAAAAAAAAAAAACCGGATCAACATCATGGCGGCACATGGGTAGTAACCCATAAGTGTTCCGTTCCTCTTCTAACTCAAGTCTGAGTCCGAAGAAGCTCAGCATAAGCACAAGCTCTGTAGCACCGGTGAGAATCCTTAAATACTTTCGGTAGATTTTAAACTCCAAATTCTGCCCAGGCAGCGCTGTTAGACTACTTTTTTCGAATCCAACTCGCGGTGTCTTTTTTTTAACGTGTGCAACAATACACACGGGCGTCCGATCTCACTACCCAGGGACCGGGGGGAATTACTAGGGAAAATATCTCAGTCATTACGGAGGATTAAACACGGAACCTCTAGCACTTGAGGCGTACACCATGCCTTGACACCACGCAGCTCCCTAGTGTTCTTAAGATAGAAGAAAAACAGCGCTATATTCTACATCATCATTCTATATTTTACATCAGTATAAGGATCATGTGGCTAACCTGACTGTCGTTTCTCAATAAGTTTACCAAAGGAATAGGTTGTCCTCTTGACCCCTTAGTTCGTAAACTCAATTTGGTCTCTATAAACAACCTATTTTAATGCCAATGTTACTTTAGGGTCAATATTTCTTTTAGTCGGGTACATTTGATATTCCTGAAGTTTGCCAGAAGAGCATGTAGCAGGACTTTATATCTCCGTCGACACACGAAGGGGTAAAAGAGGACGTAAAGAAGAAGGAGAATGAATCCAACGAGTCCGGCATGAAAATGGAACAAAAAAAAAAAAAAAATGCAGAGGGAGACCTAGAAGGAGTCACGGACAGCCTCAGACTTCACAACATTATTGTATAGCGGTTTTTAAACTGGGTGCCGCGGCACCCCCGGGTGCCAGTAGCGTATCCCAGGGGTTCGCGGCAATAATGACAAATTCCTCCACATAGTTTCCTTCATCACATTAAAGACAACTAAACATTAAATCTGCAGTTGTTTCCCCTTATTTTCTTAGGCATTCTTCAGCTTTAAGGGTAGCTGTGCCGCGATTTTTTTTTTTTTTTTGGCCTGACCAGGGTGCTGCGGCGAAAAAAGTCTAAGAACGCTGGTTATAGTATACAAAGCAAACGAACGCGTCGTGTTTCAAAAAAGAAGATATAAGTGTGGACTGAATGTGGTTTGGGCCAAGTTTCATCTCCCCCCCCCCCCCCTTCCCAACTAGAAAAAGGCTTTACGCACTTCATCATTAACGAGACAAGAGTTTATCAACCAACTCTTTGATTGCTGCTGAAGATGGGGAACGAGCGCTAATAGGAATGTCCCGATTGCTGTGATGTGGATTCTTATTTCTACATTTAACATCAACGGACTCTTAATGTAATACCCGGTCCGGAAGCAAATTCCTAGGGCAAAGAGAATGGTACAATCTCGGCTGAGAGATGAGAAATCAGAAAAAAAAAAAAAAAAACCCATGAGATACATTATACGTCTATTAAACCGTCAATCCAGAAACATAAAAACTTGAAGAGAAAATGTCAACTGATAAAAAAAAAAAAAGGCACAAAATGGTCAGGTAAACTCAGGACGTAGAGGTAAAACATCCGCTTAGAAGAAATAATGTTCCGCGGGAATGGGTATCACCTGTCCCAGAAACGATCACTGAACACACACGCAAACACGCATGCACGCGCGCGCGCACACAAGTTCGCTTTGATTTTTGCAAAGAACGATATTTTCAATCTTCCAAACGGTACTGTATTTTTCTGAGGGAAAAGTCAAGAGGGAAACACAGCCCCCCCCCCCCACCCCCCCCCCCGCCCCAAAAAAAAGTGGAAACAAAGTAGGAAATTATGTAGAGGGTTCTGGGATCGCATATAGTGAGTATTTTTATAACTGACCATAAATCCCAAGTCCTCCCAACTTAGACAACGTACAAGAAAACGTCACGGAAAGCAAAGGCGTCTGACCATGTCGTTGATCACGGCACCGGTTGAGTACTAACTGGTGTATATACATTTGAATGTAGGATCCAATGTCCAAAGCACCGCTAGCATGAAAAACAACCAACAACATCTTCTTTCTCCTCTTCCTCCTTCGTCTTCTTCTTCGTCCTCCTCCTCCTTCTTCTTCTTTTTCCTCCTCCTCCTTCTCCTCCTTCTCCTTCTTCTTCTTCTTCTTCTTCCTCCTACTCCTTCTTCTTCTTCTTCTTCTTTCTCCTCCTCCTTCCTCCCTCGTTGACTGAATGTAAACTGCGGCGGAAATTTCGGGTTGTTCGTCCACATTTGGACGTATGTCTTGTTTCAGAATTAAAGCTTTGCGTGCACATCCGTTAAACAGCTCTCGCTTGTTTTTATGCAGATTTCTGTTTCCTTGACTCTCAGGCAGAAGACTCCGACTTCGAGTGAAACACCTATAATTAGTCGACTCTTACGACATGCTTGTTAGGAGGCAGCAGGTCTATTCCTCCCCCTCCTCTTCTATAATGGGGCCCGGGAACCCTGACAATGACTAAAAGACAAAGATCCATTTTTACGACTTAAGTGCATCGGGATTTGGGAAGAGCAGCCTATATTACTACAGACCAATCGCCACTAGGTGGGTAATGTGGTTAGTATTACGCCGGCCGTCTTTACTTTCCCAGGACACCATCTTGGTACCCATTTTGGGCTGGGTCGACCTGCAAAGTCCCGTACCATGATAAAAACCCAGGCAGCCAGCAGTGAGTTTCGAACGCGGTACGTTGGAATTACGAGTCGGACTCGCAACGCCTAAGCCACGAACGCCGCACACAATGAATACTTTTCATAAACAGGGAGATAAAACATGCCACAGTTGTCAAATGATTGAGCCATGTTGGGGCGTGCTCTGAAAAGGCTGTCGATTCAAAATGGAACTAAGTTGTTGTGTTGTTGAGTGCAGTTGTTTTAGAGATCCATAGGGTCTGTTACATGAGCTACAGAGTTCCTGCTTCGTGCAACGCTCTTGTGGGTGACCAATCACTTCATGAAGAAAGAACGAGCCACATAGGATAAACTCGATGCACCGAAGTTTAATAAATGCCTGGTCAAATCAGGAGCATGCCAGAAAGGGACACAATTTGCACAGGAAAAAGTAAAAGAAGGAGACTTTTCCACGCCTTTCAGGCATATTGGGTTTATAGGGCTAGACCTATATTTTATAGATCAAATGGCACTTGGTAGGTGATGTGGTCAGCACTACACCGGCCGCTTTTACTTCCCAGAACTGCACCTGATACCCACTCAAGACTGGGTCGACCTGGGGGCCAAGGTCAGGAACCGAACCCAAGACCTTCCGATTCGCAGGCGAGCGTCTTGCCGCTATAACATGGCGGCTCACGTGGGAAAAAGTGGTGAAACTAATTATTCATTCACAGCGAAGGCGCTCATATTAGTTAATCAACGACTTTTTGTTATGTTCAGAATTATTTCAATAAATCAGGTTCAGTCTTCTTTGTATAGGCTGGCTGGTATGTATTTCCAACACTTTCTTGTCTTCGGTCAGATAGCGGTCAGTCCATCTCTTGATGTCAACCTCCCACATGTACCACTGTGTATCTCTTATTCACCTGTCATTTCCCCCCTTCCAGAGTGCTTTGTTTTTTCAACAAAAGTCTTATGTTTTATGTAGCCAAAATTGTGCCTGTTTTTTTTAAATTTTAAATAAATTTCTTTTTCAGCAAGTCTAATTTTCATTTTATGATGTCGATCATTGAAATACTGATCCTCGTCGGTGCAACTGAGTTCGTGCACTGCGCTGAGATTTTAAAATTCAGTCTTGAGTTAGAAGGGAAATAGAGCACTTAAGAATTTACACCCGTGTGCCATGTTGTAGATGCGTCGACTAAACTAAACTGAACTATCAATTGAAATATTACTTATTCTTCTGTATACCTACATCTACAAAGATGCATTTCGACTTGTTTTCACTGTTGAGGTTTCTGAACCAGATTGGGTGTCAAAGTTCATTGACCCATTTCCACACCGGGTGACGTATTGGAAGTAAGAGTCATCATCATCATCAGGTGCCTTGCCGACTGGCGTGGGCGATCATGCCTCTCCATAATCCGCGATCTCCTGCAGCATGTATCAGTTCGTGTGCCGACACACCTCCATGCCATGCAACAAGACTGTCAAGCATCTTCTCTCGTTGTCTTCCTCTATCCCTCCTTCCACAGATCTTTCCAGTGGTCACAACATGTTCTATTTTCCCTCTTCTCATAACATGGCCGAAAAATGATGACTGTCTCCTTCTGATGTCAGTGATAAGTTGTCTTCGGTCTCCCGCCTCTTTTAAAACCTCTTGGTTGCTCTTTTTGGCTGTCCAAGGTATTCCAAGCATTCTTCTGTAAAACCACATCTCTGAGGCGTCCAAAAATTGTTTGGCCTGCCTACCGATTGTCCAGGATTCACATCCATATGTTAAAACTGGATGTATGTAGCAAGCAAGAATTCTTTTTCTAACTCTCAATGACAAGGATATATTGCACAAGATGTTTTTCATTTTATAAAATGCAGTTTTTGCCTGTCCAATTCTGTTTCCTATTTCAGTTATGCATCTTCCATCTGATGTTATCCATGTGCCCAGATACTTAAATTTCT